ATTTCTTCATTTCTCTATTTTATCACTGTCCAAGTAAAGATAAGGTATTCATTGTGATATTTTTTATAAATATAATAAATACTTTCTAATCCTGCCTCCTAATCCTCCTTCTAAAACAAAACTCAACAAAACTCAAACAAAACTCAACTCTAGAGTTTTGGCAATAACCTTCATTACCCTAGTACCAGGTTTCTCCCCAAGCCCATAGTGGCTCTCTGTGTTAAGATATGTCTTTCCTTGCCCTTCCATTGCATCCCTCTCTGCCTTGGCCATCTGGTTCCTTCTTGCTATCATCCACCTTCATGAAATCTGATGACCCTAACCTTAAATGTCTCTCTTCTGGCTGGGAACCAGCATTATTAATTTTGTTTTCATAATCTCCTTCACTCCACAGTACCTCCAGTGTTTTTTTTTTTTTTTTGCAGATTTTTTATTTGAATTGGAAACAAGATTATTTTACATGACAATCCCAGTTCCCTTGTCCCTCCAGTCCTCCCCTACCACCCCCCTAACTAAAACTGGATGATGCTTCCCCTGGATGGTGAGGCCTTCCATGGGGTGTCATCAGAGTCTATTGGATCCTTTGGGATAGGGCCTAGGCCCACCCCCGTGTGTCTTGGCTCAGGGAGTATCCCTCTATGTGGATTTGGCTCCCAACACCTGTGCTAGGGATAAGTAATGAACAACTACAGGAAGTCCAGTAGATTTCGGAGGTTTCCTCACTGAAACCCATGTTCCTGGGGTCTGGATCAGTCCCATGCTGGTTTCCCAGCTATCAGTCTGGGGAGCAAGAGTTCCCCGATGTTCAGGTCAGCTGTTTCTGTGGGTTTCACCAGCCTGGTCTGGACCCCTTTGCTATTCACTCATCCTTCTCTGCATCTGGATTCCAGTGCACCTCCAGGTTTTGTGTATCTATAATTACTACTACAAGTACACATTTTCATTTTTTGTTGTTTTAATTTTATAATAAAAATTATAATGCAAAAAGTAAAAGACCCAGAGACTGATAATGGGGTTAAAGTTGAGGATCAGAAAAAGGAAGAAGTCAAGACACTAGTTCTTACCTCTACTTCAGGCTAAAAGGGCTGATTCTGTCTCCACAAGTTCTCCACCAAGCCTCAGACTACTGCCTTTCCTCATGGTGGCTGGAGAATCAATGCCTTCCTGTCCTCAATGTGGCTGGAGAATGAATGCCAGCTCTGAGACCCTTTTCTCGTCTTAAGTACCTCTCATGAGTTCTGGGATTAAAGGTGTGAGCTTTGTTACTCTTTTAGAATGGTTCAACCTCATATAGCCCTAGGTGGCCTTGAACTCAATGAGATCCATCGGCTTCTGTCTCCTGAGTCCTGGGATTTAAGGTGTGTGCCACCACTGTCTGGCTTCTATGGCTAACTAGTATGGCTGCTTTGCTATTTTGATCCCTAGTGGCTTTAATAAATCATAAACAATACATCTCCACAAAAAATCTGTTCTACAAATTTTTTAGAACTTTGCTTTTTAACTTACTGTTCTGATTGTCAGACATCCTGTAGTTGGTTGTTGTTGTTGTTGTGGTTGTTCTGACCATCGTATCATACTCTGTTATGGAAACACATTTCATTATTCATCTGGTCTTTATCTGTGCTCCTGCTGTCTGCATTTGGGCCATTTCCATTTGGGCTGTTGTGACTACAGCTATTATGATCATTCTTCTGCATGTTCTGCATCAGACCTGTGAAGGACTTTCTCATAGGTAGTGGGGTTGCTGGCTGTAGGATATATGAGTATTTGACAATAGGGGCCAATGTCTCCTTTTCATAGTGGTTGTTGCATCAATTTCTTTTCCCATAAGATATATAAGGGGGTTCTCTGGTTCTGAATCATGGGAATCTATCTATCTATCTTTCTTTCTTTCTTTCTTTCTTTCTTTCTTTCTTTCTATCTATCTATCAATCAATCTATCTATCTATCTATGTCTAATATCTATATATCTATCTCTCTGTATATAGAGAGATATATTCCCTCTGGCTCATGGATAGAAACTTGGGAATGTGTGAATTCTGTCTAGGTAGATTCTGATGATTCAAGCTATGATTGTTGTAGTTTCTTTAGATGTGGGATGCTTGGGGCTTCATGTGGATGCTTTGAAATAGAGTCTACTTTAGTCACAGTTCTAGGTTCAGATGCTTCCACATGATTTTGTGAAGCATATTTGTTCTTTCTGAAGTAATACCTGACATTTAATTTAGTGCATTTTTGTTACATTTTCTGCCTTTGGTACCCTATACAAAAGTCTGTGCCATCCATTATACTGCCAATAGAATAAGTGGGAGATTAAATTTCAAAAGCAAAAATTATGATTTGAGGCTGTGTTTCTTCCAAGGTGATGAAGTGTTTTCTGTGTGTAGCTGGGTTGATGTGAGAAGAGGAGTTGGACTAAGAGCTGAATTTACTGTGTTTAAGACACTGCTTCCTTGCCTTTCAAAGCATATGTTAACATATTCTATAATGATTGTCTTGTGTGTCAAGTCTTGTCTCTTGTGCTTGGCAGACATAATGGACATGATCACTGGGCCAAATGAGGACTTCATACCAGTTTTGAGCTCTCCAGTGACACCCGCTGAAATGACTGTGGAAGCTCCCACAATTTCTCCAGCACTCCCACCTGAGGGAAGAACTATTCCGTCTATTAACCACCCAAATACGGCTACCTCCTATGGCCTGGAACAACTTGAATCTGAAGGTATCCTTATCTCTGACCACATATTTGAAAAACAAAGTAGCTGTAAGTTTATGTCACTGGGTTAGCTGTCCTGCCACCAAAAAGTATTTAATAAAACCCTCTGGCTGGGGTTTCTCCCTGTGATTCCAATTACATTTACACTTAAAATGAGTGTCTTAGTTGTTTCTACTATTCTGACTGGATGAGAATAGCAGGTTTAAATGGAGGAACTGTGGTTTTTTCCATCTGACTGTTGGACAAACATTTATAGGTTTACTGTCTTTTCATAACATCACTCTATCAGTACTGGGATGTTCTCTTAGTAACATTGTTGAGTTACTATCTAGAGATAAACAGTTTCTTTATTAATTAATGCTGAGAAATTCATGACAAATTGTACTGTGTAAGACATTAGCTTTTGCTATGAAAAATGTAATGGAGGCATAGCTGAATATCAACAGTGAGAACGGAGATAGGTCACACGGTCACATGACTGCTTGATTAACCACCCTGAAAGGTAAGGAGTATCAGGTTGGGGGTGCAAATGTTTGGAGTTACAGGGATGCTAACTCAGAATAGTGGGCAGTCAGGCATATCCTAGATGAACAAGGACAGAAAGAAGTACTGGAATTTTATGTTTCCTCATCTGCAAAGAAGAGGTTCAGCTGGGTGTGTACAAAATGCTCCCTCCCACAGAGATTCATTTTACCTTTTTTTAAAAAAAAAATCATGATAGTGTGTGTGTGTGTGTGTGTGTGTGTGTGTGTGTGTGTGTGGGTGTGTGTTGGTGGCCTTAGAGGCCAGAAGCATCAGATCCACAGGAAGTTGCCATGGGTGATGGAATCGAGCTTGGATCTTCTGCAGAAACAATACACACCCTTAAGAGCTGAGCCATCTCTCCAGGCCAACTCTCATAGCTTTCCAAGGTGACACTTGTAGTCTGTTCACTGAGAAAGGTAACATTTTAAGAGTGGCTCAGAGAATTTCACAGAGGAATTCTGGTCCCAGATGCTAATATCCCTCTCACACCACATGGAGACAGATACCACATGGCTTTGGGCTCATTGCCTCATGTTTTCAGTTCCCTTAAATGCCATCTACAAAAAAAAATTCAGATTTCCTTAAATTAACCTGAGATATAGCTGGAAGCTCTACTTGGCAAGGCTCATTAAATCAAAGAAAAAATATATTTGTGAATAGTCTATCCTTGTAAAACTGTAGTAATTTTCTATATTTGTAGATGATGCCAGTTGTGTTGGAATATGTGAGAATTTTTCTGACATGCCTAAAGATATCCTGGGGTTTGAGATCCCTTCTTCTATACAATTCAGTTTCAGCTTTCTTTTTTGAGAATATGTTTTGTCAGGTTTTGACCTGAATTATGATTCTTGTCAAGGTTTCTGAAAGACATTTTTAGTTAAAAAAAATACTCTTTCAGTTACATTGTTGGGCTTAAGATAAGGTCTGCAGTTAGATCAGCACATAACTTCTCCTAAAGGCCAAGGTGCATACTACATGTTAAATCACTGTGTATTAAAATATAAGAATTTTTAGCTGGTGTTTAATTCTCGGGAAGCTAAAAAGTCTATATGTATTTAAACAGAGGAACCCACAGGACTCCTGGACTAATAGGGCCTCCCTTTTCAGCATGTGTTTTCTGCCTTTACTAGGAATATAAATGTAGTTTGAAGTATTGACTAAGGAAGCATTTTAATGTAGCCACAAAATTTAAAGCAGAAGGGAATTTATACTTAACTAAATAATGTATTAGTTATGTCACATTTTCTTTAACTGCCTTTCAAGGTGGCTTTGTTTTTGAGACTGGGTATTAGTACATGTTTCACTGATCTGGACTTAGCTATAGAATGAGTTTGAGGCCAGTCTAGAACACATCAGACTCTATCAAAAGCAGAAAAAAAAAAGTGTATTTATTTGTCTATACACTTAGTTTTTTATTTGAATGTCTGTCTTCCTATAAAAAGACAGAGACATTCCTCTATATATCTAAGGGTATTTTTGGCCTCAATGGAATATGTAAAAAAAAAAAAAACCAAAACCCCCCCCCAAAAAAAATGCCCATATTAGATATCAGACACCCAAGGAGACAGAGCCTTGGAATTGTGCAAATTCAGGCCTCACTGATCTATTTATCATGTATGAGATAACTAAAAGCCCCAAACAGACTAAAGATGTCATTTTCTCTTGCATCATCATTTATATTTCTCACACATGATGACTAAGAATATGTGCTAGTTTTTCAGAGACTCCATAAAAAGTCCCACAAGTTCACAATAGCTTAAATTAACAGCAACCTATTCATGTGCCATTCTGGAGCCCCACAACACCAAGCCAAGGTATAATTGGGTCATAGTCCCTCCAAAGCCTCTAGGCCAAGAGATGCCTCAGCCCCATAGGATTCTGGTAGTCCTAGAACTCTCCCCTACCCCAGGTTCATGGTAGCCTAGGTCTAGTGTCTTATTTCATGCCTAAACCCCAATTTCCTTCGCTTACTGAGTCATAAGTCAATGAATTAGAACCCACCATAAGAGTTTCATTCGAATTTGGTGGTATCTAGACAGATTCTGCTTATTAATAAATAAAGCCATGTTCATAAGTGCAACTTATTAAACTGAGGGAACAGTTACACACATAGCAGGGGTCTTCTTCTGTTGGTAGGGTAGGAAAAGCGTAGGTGAGTTTTTCTTTCTTAGTCCCTGAGGAAAGTCTCCTTTTGTAAAAGTAAGCCACCTTCTGCATATTTAGTAAGTCTTCTACTCTGTCAACAAAATGCAATTTTATTTTTCAAAGAGATAATAGTTTATTTTTCACCTTACCGGATACATTCACTTTAATGTACATTTTTTAAGAAGAAAGAGTATTTTCAATTTGATGTGTTTTAAAGCACTCTATTTAGTAAAACTGTAACTCTACTAGTATTTCAGCATTTTTAAAATTTATTTATTTTTAATTACTCAAATTTACATATCCATCCCCCATTCCCTCACCCTCCCTTCCTCCCATGTTCCCCACCCAACCCACCCCAACCCATCCCCCAACTCCTCTCCAAGGATAGTGAGGCCCTCTGCCAAGGACCTTCAAAATCTGTCATATCATTTGGGGGAGGGTCTATATCCTCCTTGCTGTGTCTGGGCTGCAATAGTATCCCTCTATAGGGAATGGGCTCCCAAAGTCCATTTGTGCTCTAGGGATAAAGACTGGCTCCGTTGTCAGAAGAGCCATAGACTGTCTTGGGCTCCTAGCTGGTACCCACATTCAGAGAGTTTGGTTCGGTCCAATGCTTTTTCCTCAGCTTTATGACTAGGGTCTCCATTCTACCAGTAGATCAGGTCCACTGTTTCTGCAGGTCTCTCCATCCCCGTCTTGGCTCCTTT